TCCATAAGTGTGTATCACGTCTATTCAAAAATAATTAAATTGACCAGGTTCAATGGGATACAAAAATATGTTACCCTTCTTATTTCGGGTGCGATGTTCGTGCGCTAAAACTTTCCCTAGGTTTCAACTTTCACAAGAAATCGCCTACAAATACTACATTAGCATGCAAATCTGACAAGAAATATAAAGAAAGAAAAACTAATTCATTATACGTTCAGCATTGGTTTGCTTGTTACCACAGTGTCTACTTTAACTCCCTCGCTTACAAGAGAACATAGACTCGCGTTCGAGGAAAATGTAAACTATAAGCTTTCTAGTTTAAGCAATCAAACGTAGGCCTATACACTTTAACCTCGTAAATACAGATTTAGCTTTCCATCTCACAATTCAACAAAATGTCCAGAAATACCGCAGTGATTTGATATTAATAAGAATTAGTTTGAATTGGAGTGTTCAATAAGCGACAATAAGTGTTGTTTTTTTTAGACTCAAAGTGTTACATGTATATAATTATTATGTTAGTATGAAGGGGAGATCGAGTCAAAGAGAAACACCGAGTGACGTTTTCAATAATTTTAGCCTTCCTAAAATTTGAAAATATTCAATGAAAAAACAAAAGAAACGTCCATACTTTTTCGCGGGAGAAAAAATACCGCGTGTTGTATATTTTTGGTAGCTAAAAGAGTAGGATTTACAGAAGTCTTGAATAACGAGATAATATACATACCAAAATTATTTTTGAGAAATATATAAAATAGTTTAAAAACATAAAATCAAAACGAATGTTATATAAGTAATTAATGAAAGAAGTATTGTACTGTTGTAGGTTCATGTCATTAAGTGTGTTTAAAATTATTTAAATAAATGTTATCAAAAGTTTTATATTAGATTAAAATATGAATTGAAGGTTTACATTTTACAGTTAAGTTGCAAAATCTGTGTATACAAAAATTACTTTAAATGCCATCAAGACAAATTTATCTCAACGCATAAAATTATCTGTTTGAGGGTACATATGCCTAACCGCCCTCTGTCAATGCCGCAACTGGAATCATCGATAAAAAGAGCGAGGCATTTTTGTTACGTCATATATTTCGTAAATTGTTGTTGACGTAATAAAGGTTTTTTCGTCAGGAATCCATTTGCATTGTGATGTTGACAAGTAAAATTGATGGGCCGTTCTTGAATTATGGATTTGGAACATGCTGAATTATGATGTGTTTCATTTACATAATTCATTTGCTAACCCAGATAACTCCACAAATTAAACAGTGTTTTAATAATGAGACGGATTAACAGTTTAAAAAATCTTGATCATCATAAGTGTAGGGGTCATGTCATTGACATTCAGGAGTTTTGAAGTAAAAAACTGGAATCTACGGGACTGGATAGAAACTGGCAATGAAGGAATCTTCAGAATGCGAATTCGTCGTGACGTTTATAAAGGGGTTCTATTCAGCTTAAAAGTAAGTGCAATTTCCATGTGACTCGGTGTTCTTGTTGCTTATTTTTCATTTTCTAAAGTTTTCCATCATGCATTGCATCTTGTAGATCCAGCTTTGTAAAATAATCATGAAACGACCCCGAGAACCTCAAGCATATTTTAGAAACATGACACGTGCTTTCTCCCGTTCATCTTCAAATGAAGTGTACTTCGGCAATGGCTACGGAAAATAAACAACAGAGATTTACCATAGAGAAATCAAAATTTGCTTTCACCAGAAAGTGTAAAATCCTGAAAAATCGAGGGTGACTTTTTTTTAGTTTACAAAAATAGTTAAATTTGTATTCAACCTCGTTTTGTTAATTCACGCCAGGCAAAAGTTCATTTCCATTTTTTATGGGACAGACTATAGAATTATGCATTTACTATATGATCTTATCGTACTGGTAATCATTTTATAGTACCAATGCTTCCAACATAACAAGTTATAAATTTAAGAGAAACGTTAAATAAAATATAATATAATATAAATAAATATAACGTTTTGAGAAAATGCTTATAATCATGATATAATCATGATAAAATTGCAAAATAAAACAAAAATATAAAAATCAAATTTAAAGTTCCCAACCTATCACGGGTTTATACGATTTTATAAAATTTTAACTTTTCGAATTTAGCATATTGCTAGAAAACATCATGTCTCATTGATTATGACACATTATAATTGACAAATAAATATATCTGTATCATCAAAAGTGCATAAAATTTAAAATTAGAAACAGATAAAACCGTAAATTTATAGTTACAATAAGAACAAACATTTGACAATGCAAAACAATGATTATAGTATAGCACAAAACATTATTAAATAATAAAATGGTATTTTTAAAATTTTTATTTCTTTTTCTTTGGATAAGAGTAATAAATGCCAGTTAGCATAGACAATTCAGTTGAATGAATAACGACAAGCTGATTCGACATTATTATTAACTAGAATGCAAAAGTCAATTTCTCTCAAGATGCAAATAAATATGTCAATGCACAGTATTTGAAACGCAGTGTACTGTACAGACATTTATAATGCATGTAAACCAGTCATTATGATAATATATAAATATAACCAGGGCCTTTTCCCCCTTCTTTGCTGTAGCCTGTATCAGGCTACTTCCCCAAGCCAAATTACTACCTTTTTCCCCCAAAAACAGTCTAAATTTCCCCTTCTGGCAAATATTTCCCCTTTAACTGAAGAATAAAACTTGTAAAGAAACTTTCTTGTTTTAAAATAGATAATTGTTTTGTCCAATGAAAGCTAATAATTCAATAACCCAATAGAGGGATACCTTGATTTAATACAATTGATGTTAACTCAGAGCCTCAGTCTGAGTTTGCAACTTTCTAAAAACAGCATGGGAAATCCCTGCTGCTCTATTTTTTAGTGCACATGTGATTTGTTACGACAATATGGCGACCGATACGATGTCACTAATGTAAACAATGTCACAGAACAAGAAGAAAATACGATTGAGTGACGTTTGTAATTGTTTATTAAAAATTGGATGAATTGATGACTTTGTGTCCGAGTAGCACAACATGCCCAACTGTCGGAAATAGCCAGCCTAGCACATCAGTGCCAGTAATACACTGTAAAAACGGGTGTTTAAGTTTTAAACACATTTCGAAACACTTTTCCTGTTACACTTTGGAAACACTATAGAATGGAACACGACGTCACATGTTCACGAATAAACGCACAGATGTTCCCGTTTTACACGCTTCCTGGTGTTTCCAAACTGGAAACATGTGACACGTTTCATAGCAGAACACTTGTTATGTTACAGTTTGGGAACACCTGAACATGTACAGTAAACACGTTTGGTGTTTTTCAAAAACTGGAACTTGCAACATGTTTCCAAACCCACATGTGCTGCTTTCAAAGTGTTTCTGATAAACATGTTTCATATTTCAATTTCAAATGCATTACGTGTGTTTACTGTATATGTTCAGGTAAGATCAAAACAACTAAGGAAATACATGTACAGCATATTGTAAACTACAAAAAATGCTAATGAAGTATTTTTGGAATTTTATTTATTATAACATTATACAGTTTTTTTCATTTTTAATTTAACATAATTCAAGAATACAACTTTGCTAAAACACAAGCATGAAATGAGCTGTTAGAGCGACAACATGCCTGCACTATTCTCAATGCATTTACTCCGAAATGAGGCATAATTACCTTGAATGGGTATTGGTAAATAATATTTTTCGTATCTAACACATGTACAAAGTTTCGGCTAAAATTCTATGACTGGAGAAACAACTTTCACACACAAAAAATACATAATTTTATATGTGCAGAATTTTCTAAAAGGAACAACACATTTAGTCAAAATGCAGAACAGAGTTATTGGTCTTTTTATGTGAACTTATATTTTGCATACACAAAAATGGTGATGTTCCAAATAAATATCAGAAGTCCATGGTTGCCTTTCTTTGTCTAAAAAACTTAAACATTGTGTCATGCAACACTAATGCTATAATCAGCTGCTAATGGCTATTGCCTTACCATTTTTTAAATAATCAAGCTAAAAAATTATGACATCATTCAAACATCTGTTGCAAGAAATATAAAATTATTAATTTGTACTAAAATAGCCAGATTTTCTTTGGTTAAAAATCATTCGCTTTTTATAAAATGTGGTTGTGTTTTTTCATGAAATATTGTGCTATTTTATATAAATGGATTGTGCAACAGTCATCCTCTGTAATTAGCATAGATGATTTCAGAAGCAAGTTATATTAATAATTCATGATCATCATTAAGTACAGTCTGTGATAAACATAAAATAAATAAATATAATAAAAAAGTATGTACTTAGTAACTTTTAATTTACTTGCAAACCAATAAAAAAATCTACAGTTAATGAAACAATTTATCTTTGTAACAAAACATAGGATAAAACAATTATGGATTTACTAGTCATTAAATATGATGAGATGTTCACCCCTCAATAATGTTTTCAGCTGGCAAATATCACATCTAATTTATGAAATCAGTTCTTCAAAAATACTTATGATGAAGAGTGTGAATAGTTACATATAAGGGCATCATTAACGACTCTCAAAAAGATTATAGTTAAATAAAACATACTTCTGAGGAAGTGTAAACTGATAATTATCCCAAATGAAATTAAAGTTCAAACTTTTTCCCTTTATGATAGCTGGATCACTTCAGTCACATTGGCTTCTTTCTTTTCTCTCCATTTCCATGTTCATTCCCTTTAAATATTGAACAAATCCATAGCTCTTATGCCTATCAAACTGGTGATGAAGTTCAGTTTGCTGAAGGAACCCACGCAACCTGTGTATACATACATATTTTATTCATTGTAGCATATTAGCATAAGAAGTTATTGCAGAAATCCCTATTCATTAAACATGGTAATGATTCAAATTTTGAGGAAAAGGTTTTTTGAAATTGTGATTAAGAACACAAAATCACATAAAACTGGAAAACACGCAGTAGCATTCTTTTTCGGAAAGCACAATGTTAAGTGTGGATATTTATTTTCTTAGATAGATCAATTCGATTCTTTCCTTTAAATAAAGTTTTGATTCATAACTCGCAAAAGAGATCTTAGTGTACTGAAACTGACATCAACAAAAACAAGCATAAAAGTCTGATAGGCAAATCACATACACATGGACAAGTCAATGCAATTTTATGAAGGAAGTTTAAAGCACTCTTCACCAGTGGTGTGAATAGTGCAAAATGTCATTTTATAATGTGATGCCAGTGACTCCATTTTTCAATGAGCATGCGCATCAACCAAAATTTTGTGACTTATTATTACAATATTACATAATTGATCAATAGAAATTTAGCATTAAAAACAGAAGTGAGTCATAATAATTAAAATTTGTTGAAAATTTGTTTTAACCAACCTGTGAATATGCCTTTGAATAATCTAGGTCTGCAAGGTAATACAAATCAATCGACACAGCTAGGGCCCCTATTGAATCGGCTGTCTTTAGAAGAATGTGTGTACCATCACAAACAATAGCCATGTTCACAATACATTCATCTTTCTCAATTGCAACCAACTTTGGTGCCGACTCTGGTGCAGAAGAAAGAAGTCTCACAAGATTCCCATCATCTTCAAGCTGAAACAAATATTGATAATTTTTAAACATCAGTTTTTTAAAAGAACAAACTGTTAGCATTTGTATAAGCCTTAGATATTATTCAAATTGAATGTTAAAAGCATTTTTAGCGTTATCACCAAGTAACAAATACCATGGAAATTTATTCTTTGTTAGAATAGTTTACCTACATAAATCAGTTTTGAAATAAAACTCGCATTAATTATTTATTAAACAAGTGTGCATGCCAAATATGACATGCTGATAATTATGGAAATAAGATGTTAAGGTATATTCCCTAAAAAGTGTTGATGTAAAATATGTACACAGATGTACAGACATGTCAATCACTGAATCACAGCTGGTCACATAAAAAAGAAGTTTTAGGACATTAAAAGTTTTGAATATCTAACACCCTTACCATAATTATTTGCATCAAAGGCTGAGTCTTCTGGTCCTTTTCCTTTTCTGTAAGCTGTTTCTGATTCTAAAGCCTTCAGCACTGCCACATTAAAGTCATCCTGAAAGCAAAATTATGAACAGACTAGGCTAACAGAAAGGTGCAAAAACTTCATATGAATAAGTCACGCCCATTTTTAACGGACTTTTTTCAATTGCTTATATTTTTTCATCAGCATGTGAATTCTACAATGTAATCTCATACCCTTATACAAGTCTTGAATCAAGATGCGATATTTATTTATTTATTTATTATTTCAATTTCGATTTCAATAACGAATTAATTAGATAGCGAATAGTTTTAACACCAACTAAATGAAGTGACGTCATAATTTACATTGCAAATGACATCATCAATGCTCATGTCATACTATACATGTAATCATAACAAACAGGATAGACGATTTTCTTGTTATCTTTACTTTGCCGGCAAGCCTCGCCCTTTCTAGTCCTTATCAGCCTCGCCTGATAAAATTAATATCAAAAGACAGTAGCACGTTATTATCTAGATCTATATGTTTTGACTCGATATTCTTGAAATAACAAAGTGGGTGGGGAAGTCAGTTTTATGGTTAATGAAAATGCTCTATTGCGCCCGTCTTAAAAAGATCTGCATTTTCACTCTTTGAATTTGATCTACAAATACATAAGTACATCGTACATGTACTAACCTTTTGCTGTTGTTTTTTCTGTTTTCCTTGCTAAATTCACACAAAATGAAGAAAGGTAAAATTTGCGCCAAAAAATTCGGCTGCAGCAGGAGAAAGGAAGTTAAATTCGTAACACCTCGGATAATATCAGAAGGTGTTCTTGATCGGCACTCATGACATACACAGAATGTTCGCCCCTGAAACACCGGCGTTTAATACAGAGACACTTTCTCATTAAATATTTCTTAACATTCGTATTGTCTTATCCTTACTGTTATGTTTCTGTTTACTGTTATGTTTCTGTTTTGTTTGTTATTAATAATCAAAACACGAGATGAGCTTATGACATAAAAGTAAACACAAACGTTTCATGTTTGCCCACTGAGGCAACACCAACCGTTTAAACATGCACTGCACATTACTGTTTTAGTTAAAAACACCCGTTCCATAACGAAACGCATGTGTTTTAATACTGCACACAACGAGAACACCTGGAACGCGTCAACAAACACCTGGAACGCGTCAGGCGCTACCATTTTTTACAGTGTACAGTGTAAACTGATAATAATGTACCCTCTGAATCAAACCAAGAACCCTCACATGACCAACATAAAATACTATAAATAGGAAATATGAGTTAATATAAAGGGTCAATAAATTGATCTGTAAAAAATGTTTTTTACTCCTGTTGGACAGAAAGCTTAGTACTATAGTAAACCTTAAATGTGATTGGAGGAAGATATGCAAATAAATTATGATATTCCCCCGAAATGTGTGAAAATATGATATTTTCCCCAAAAGTGTGGAAATCGCGCATTTTTCCCCACAAAAAGGGCTAGGGCGCCTTCCCCAAAACTAGCGAAAAGGCCCTGATAACTGTTTTTATGCCATTGTATAATTTTGTACAGTATGTAATTTTATTATGCAAGCTTGTATGAAAATATATTATCTACGTGGTTTGTGATATAGATTTCTTTGAATGCGTTCAATTTTTTATGGTACTTCGTTGTATAGTGTATATCAATTTCCACCGCATATTTTGAAAAAGCGAAAATGACAGGTCTTTTTTTCATTCATTCCATCATTAACCCAGCCGCAATGTACCTTTCCAGTTTTAAGCATTGACAAATTTTGCCAAGCCCTTTCTATTCTCTGCTAGGTTAACTGCTCACAAACAGTATCACAATAAAACAATGTATTCTTTGTGTAAAGCAAGTCAACCAGTGATTATGTAATAAACGAGTATAATAATTCCATCCAATTTGCATGCAACCGTAAACATCAAAAAGACTAAATGTGTTAAATACATCTGTAAATTGATTTAACATTGGTATCTTGGATAAAATTTAAATGTTATGTATAAGTTTTCTTTAAAGGCATTACTACACAATTCGGTTTGTTAAAATTGTTCATTGTATTAGACGAAATACATAAGACAATTTATTTCAGTTCATATTAATTTTTGCTATTACAATTATCACAGAATATATGTTTTAAAAAACGAATTCAAATAGTGACTGCGTATATGATTATCGTGTCTGTTCATATTATCAAACGGAAAAAATATTCTGGAATTTTACTATAAATGTTTGTCCAGATTGGCTTTAACGATGTTCACCACCTGATTGCTTTATATTGCTAAATGATCACACTTCCTGATAAAATATTACTCGAAATATTAGCATTCTTTCCATGTCTTATGTTCATATTAATTAAGATACACAAATATTTAAGACATTATTTAGTTATTAAAACTTCCTCAAAACTGTCGATATTGACGCAAATTACACAGTCCAGTCGTTGATATCAGTAAATTTTAATATCATATATATTTTGATGATGCAGATATAAATTTGAAATCTATTTGTAACTTTATAAATATTTGTTTTCGTCGTCGCAGCTTCATAATTGTGATCTATTTCATGTACATAGTTCTTTTGATTATCAACACACACAAATCACCATTGTAAGTAAATGTTTTATGCTTAATAAGAAGAGCCATCCCTTTCACGGGGGAGGAAGTGTTACACGAAGGATGGAGTTCTTATGATAACTTGTTTGGAGTTCTTATGATAACTGTCACGGAGTTCCTGGAAAACGTTACGGATTTCTGTGGAAAACTTTTCTATATACTTGGAGAACTCGCGTAAAAAATGGTTATTTTTAACTTTAAATGGGGAGTTTGAGGTGCTAAATTAAACTTTGATAATTAAGCTTGCCCTACATATTGTATTATGTTTCAGAAAAAAATTTTTAGTCCATATTTCGTCGCCGTTTAAAAAAAAATCTTGTAGTTTTGAGAAAAATTTCCAAATTACTTGCTAATTCGTACATATTAACCTTTTCATTTGTGATCTTCTTCGTTGCTATACATAATCACTTAATTATAGTGGAGAGTTGCAAACATAAAGCCAATGCTAATAAATGTATACCCGATTTTTCAAATGTTACGGAGTTCTTGTGATAACTCAAAATATGTCCTAAAGTTCTTATGATAACTTTTGTTACTGCCAGTGTGTTTTTGTGCTTAATCACGGCACGTTTAAGCGTATTTTATTAGTCAATAAGTGTGTAAATCATTATTGACACCCTTTATCTCAATTAGCACATTGACAAATATATTACTCTAAAATTAGCGCGTCTTAACATCTTAACGCTATTGTTATACAACGCAAATAACGCCACGTCAAAATATATGCAAGGTCGTTTAGTGCACATGAATAAAAACGTCCAATATGAAAATAATATATTTTTAGATCCAATACGGGAATGTATTGGACGGTCACGATGTACAAATAAAGATTGTCGATTGGTTATATTTATAAGAAATATAATAATTATTTCTATAAATGATTCATACACAAAGATTGAAAACCATTTATTATCAATCACATTTTGATGAAATACCAAATCATAATTTGCCATTAGTAACAAAGTCAATTGAATTGTTTGTACACACTATATTTTGACTTTTAAACTGATGTATATTTACAGGTATTACAGTAATAATGACTACTGCTGCGTCAATTGATATGATTTTTTCACTTTGTCTAACTAATACTGGGACATGTATTTATATATAACTCCTATATATGTTCAGTTATTTTTTTACAATTTTAAACAAGACGTATATTTTTTTCATCAAAATACTAGTTCAATATGAAAATATATTAAAATATAGTTGGAAGAAGTTTTTCATTTTAAGACATTCATTTCACATCTTATAAAATGTAATAAATGCACTTTCAGCATTTGCACCACGTTATGTTCCACAAAATCATTTTTGGTTCCAATCTTTTCAGTTTAACCTCGTTTTCATTTCCAGAGTCCAAAAGGTCCATATGGAATCCATACCCCATTAGCTTTTCCTAGGGCGCAAGAATGTTCTAAGTGGTCCATCAAGTAAAGTTTAGATGTTGGAGCATGGCCTTGAAAATATGACCTGCGATGGTACACTGTTTATTTCGTCGGGGTCTTTTTAATTTCAAAACCGTTACAAGAAGCGTTTAAACTTTAAACTTTTTATAATTGTTAATTCTTTCAAATGAAATATACCTTAAGCTTATTTGTTATCCAAACTTTTTAATCATTATGGATGAATACCTATTTAGACCTAAGCGACAAAAAGACAAGCAAAGTCATTAAAATTGTATTACACAATCAAAATCTTTCCCCTAGAATCATTTTACTTTTCTGTGATATAAGACGTCGGGTGGTATATTTTATCAAAATTGTCATTTTATAATCATTTTTCGAAAAATAAAGAGTTCTATTTCTCTGTCACGTTCTCATCTACTACGAAAGATATTATAAAAAAAGTAAAAAATGATATTACTTAACTTTTACAGTGCTTAAGAGGGTACCGATGCTTTAAACAAAATGATAAAGTGGGTAAATATGACAGGAAAAACGGATAGAAAGAGGTAATTAACGCCACTGAAAAACCTAAAGTAAGGCGTCTGTATGAATTTAAAATTCATTTTCACTATTTAATATTACTTTTATTTATCCATTGATTACAAAAAAAAGATGCAAAATGTATAATGTGTATATAGGACATGCAGTAATTAAAAATTGGACAAAATCCTTGGATTGAAATAGTTTAGCAGTCTAGTGTTCCGAAGAATACTTCTTGAGCATTTGTCGTACCACCTTTCATTAGAAGAATGAACATTAACTAAAGTGGTGTATGTCCAGCCGAGAGAGCAAATACAATACCGTTTTAATAAATTTCGCAAAGAGGGTACCAATATAGAAATGCATCGTGAATAAGCTCACAATATGGAAAAGTATTAGTGTGTCTTGTTTTTTTTTAGAGTTTTACATAAAATACATGTAAAGGTTTCAACAAGAATATTTCAATTCAGTGGTAAGAGCAGACAAATTGTCTTTATCTTAACAACAGGATGAAACTACTTATTGACATAATTCATATCATTTGAAATATTTTGGTAAATGGAAAATTATTGTTATTACAATTATTACAAAGAAATATGTTAAAAAGTTCCGTTATTAGAATTATAAATTATAATTTATTTGATATTAATGTCAAAACATATAAATTCAATGTAAACTTTCCACATCATATAAGTGAAGAAAACAAAAGGGAAAATGTGACCATGAATAAAACAAAAAAAATAAAGAACGTGGTTCTGTTTCATTTAATAGCAAATTGTAAAATGACACTGTTAACAGTAAGAGTCTACACGTTATTAAATATGTTTATCTAAACATCATTAACATTTGCTGATTTCTGCAAGGTGATTGTAGACATAGACCGTGCAATCATTTCAGACGTTGAGCGTGGTGAACGTACGAGTTCTTGACTACATTCATCCCTGTTTGAGCTTAAAACAATTTTGAAGAACAAACGATATATTGAAAGTTTACGCATTGCTTAAATGGCTTATTTATTTTGTTACTTGCTCTTTGCCCTTCTAGGAAATTAATTATCGGAGCTTAAGGCATTAATATTTGTGATAGTGTTAGTATATGGACTGACAATAGCGGAGAGCGCAGGTGCATGTTTTGTTAATGATGTGATGCTAATTTCACAATAAGAATTTTACTTTATCAAAAGAAAACCACGGATGTCCTGGTTTCTTAAACGATTTACTTAGATAACTTAAGATTGGGCATAACTGTCATTCACGATCACATTGTCTCATAAAAGGAGCAAGCCGTTGTAGCGTAAGCAAGAAACTTTAAACAATTTAAGTACTGGTTGTTCAAGAATGATTTAATTAGCTTATAGCTTGCAACAGAATCGAACTAAACAAATAGTAAACATTAGATGTATAGATTATACACTAAAAGAACAAGGATTTACTTACGTATTTATATTTCTTAGAAAGTAAGG